CACAAAGGTGGGGCATAGAGGAGAAATAATAATGTACAGTATGTGTAAAATAATGTGTTTTTTTTAACCTTAAACCGCTTAAACATTTCATTACACCAAATACACAAAATAATGTTCTTTTTAGCAACATCATATGACCCCTTTAAAATAGTTCACTGACTAGGGCCATAAATGCACTTCATTATGCACTTTGTTTCTCCAGAATATTGCTGGAGAGCAAGGGTACATTTATAAAAGGCAGGGACCTGATGATACACAATTCACAATTTTTATGTGTTTTATTGATGCTTCTAAAGCCTTTGATCGTGTAAATCATGAAAAATTATTTTTTAAGTTATACAATAGAGGAGTTCCCAAATTTTTAGTGAGAATTTTGGTTTTTTGGTATGCTCATCAATTAATGTATGTAAAATGGGGTAATTGTGTGTCTGCTCCATTCAGTGTATGTAATGGAGTCAGACAGGGAAGCATTTTGTCTCCCTTTTTATTTAATGTTTATATGGATGATTTATCAAAGCTGTTAAATGGTTGTAGAACATATGGTTGGTCATACTATTATAAACCATTTGATGTATGCAGATGATTTGGTGATTTTTTGTCCATATAGTGCTGGTCTTCAACAGTTACTGAGGATTTGTTCTCGATATGGTTCAGAGTTTGATATTAAATATAATGCCAAAAAGAGTAATATTATGATTGTTAGGAGTAGGGGGGACAGGAAACTGACATTTCCTGACTTCTCTCTGTCTGGGAGTGTCCTTAAGGTATGTAATGAGGTTAAATACTTAGGGCATTATATAACTGATGACCTGTCTGATGATAGGGATATTTACAGACAGTGTTGTACGCTGTATGCCCAGGCCAATATGTTGATTCGCAAATTTGGCATGTGCTCAGGATCTGTGAAGACTACACTTTTTAAAGCATACTGTACCCCTATGTATACTGGCCATTTGTGGCGGCATTACAGAAAGAGCAGCATGCAGAGACTTAATGTAGCTTATAATGATGGTATGCGATTGCTGCTTAAGGTGCCACGATGAAGCAGCGCAAACCAAATGTTTGTCAGTGCTGGTGTGCCAACCTGCGCTGCTGTGTTGCGTAATCTCATGTACAGATGTATGTGTAGGTTATCAGAATCTGTAAACGGTATATTTTTAACACTGACAAACTTGGCACTAAGTTCAGTCAGGCTTTTTTCAAATATGTGGAATCATTGGCGTTTTAGTACACATGTAAATATGTGATATTGTGGTTTTTGTCCTTGTGTGTCTTTGTTTGGACCGAGTGTGTCCTTAATAAAGTTTGATGATGATACTTAATTTTTTATTGATTTATTCAACATTTATAATGTTACAAAAGATTCTGTTTTAAATAAATCCTGCTCTTTTGAATGTTCTATTCATCAATAATCAATAATAATAAGAAATGTTTCTTGTGCAGCAAATCAGCATATTATAATGATTTCTGAAGGATCATGTGACACTGAAGACTGGAGTAATGATGCTGAAAATACAGCTTTGCATCACAGGAATATACACATTTTAAAATATATAAATTGTAATATTTCACCATATTTTTTATCAAATAAATGCTGTCTTGGTGAGAAAAAAAAAAGATAAAAAAACGACGTCTTTCAACAAACATTAAAACAATCTTACCAACCCCAAACTTTTAAATGGTAGCCTAAATGTGAATCGAAGCATACTGTCATGCATTAATGACATATATAAATGCTTTCAGAAGGTTAACACAAAAATCTATGCTTCACATGTACATATCTTACATACTTTAAGTGCAAGAATAAAATCATAAATTCACTATATACATCCATTTTTAGTCATTCAGTTTTTTTTATTTTATTTTATTATTATTATCACATACGGGCTGCTAAATTGTATGCACAGTTTTCAGTGATGGCAGTATTTGCATGACAAACTGTTAAGTATTATTTATTGTAGAATTTAGTCATACTTATGAACTTTTCAGTAATTTTACATGCTTTTGTCATTTCTGTTTTCCCTTATTTTACTTTTTTTTTTGTACAAAAAAGTAGGGGTACAATTTTGAGAAAAATATCTACAATATCCACCCCTAACACTCAGTGACACACAAGCAGATTGTTCAAAAAACGTACAAATTGATGTGAATTCACCAGCAACAGTTCGCCATGAGAGACCATATTTATTTATTTTTTACGAATAAAATCATGGCTATGAGGAAAAGATTGTTCAACAGGCTGTACTGACTTAAGGTCCTACATCATGTTTTTTTTTTTTTTTACAGGAACTAACGAACCTAATGTTTCCATATAGCTGCCTCAGACAGCTGAAGACCACATGGTCGGCCATTTAACATCTTCTCAGGTTTGTTTTGTAACACAAGAATGAGAAAACAGGGGTCGGTCACGCTTTACAGCTCTGAGAGAAGTGAAAACGAGACGGGTTTAACCTCTCCGTCCAGAGCACATCGTAAATAAACCACTGACACAAAGTCCTCTTGATCGTGAAGAACTCGACACTTAGTCCCGTACTCTAGAGTCCCTCTTTTAATAAAATCGATGGGTTTTTCACTTTAGCGAGCACCATTTGGAGGAAAAAAACACCAAACACTATTTAATTCTTAATTTCTCTTTATCTTTGACAACAGCAATATTGAAGGAACTGATGTTTTGCGTGCAAACTTGTTTAACAGTTTGTGTGAATATGGTACCTGTGCTTGACAAACACCAGCATTATACAGAAGTGACTGCTGCTCCAAAGAGAGACGTGAACAACAACCCCACATCAGAGGTTTTCTTCGAGAAAAAACAGCCATTGAGAATTTGCACTGAAATACATGGACCTACACATTCAATCAGGGCAGTGTA